ATTTTGTAATCAATAAACTTTAGATGATAAATCAGCCCTCGACACCAACGGTTATCAAATTGCCAAGACAAATTAAAGTCTATGTCGGACAAGTTATTCTCTTGGCTAGTTGCCCGATCAGACAACTGAAAAATTAATGTATCTAGTTTAGTGGTGTTAATTCTGATTAATCGAGTTCGTCGATCATTACTCGTTTGGGCTGCCGAGTTAATTAATCGAGTAGAAAATAGGACGACCGAGTACAACTCAATTTTTTTAATATTTTTTTTATTGAATTTGATGAGCAGTTATGTTGCAATGCCCTTTAGAGTGTTACCCGTCCGTAACCCTAACAGTATCCTTAATTTACTTACCATTAAATACTAGCTACACATACAATAATGTCAATATTCCTTCGCAATACACCGGTTGTGTTGACGATGATGCGGAGTCACCGCGTCGTCGCCGCAATTTAAAATGATCGATGATTAATCGATCATCGGTCGTTTTGTAAAACCGATGATCGATCATGAAATTTGGACCGATCTCCAACACTAATGCTAGGTCCTTCTTTGAGCTAAAGCTCTATAACTCAACAAGTTCACGATCTACAATGCATGGTACTCATACAAAGTTCTCATGTACAAGGCTTACCGACATCACTTTCTTTCTCTAGGACGGCAAATTTCAGTTTGCTGTCACCAAGGCGACGCTCAATCAGCTCCTGTGCGGTGCCAAGTCCAACAATTCCACCTCCGACAACCACAACATCAAATTGTTGCACAGGCAAACTGCAGAAACGTTAATAGCACAAAAGAACGTAATAGAAATACATATATAATAACACATTCAGTAGTTTGTCATAAATCAAGCTTTTCAATGTTCAGTAATTTTTGATAAAATCAGATGGGGTAGAAACTAAAGTCACGAGAGGAATAAAATGGCCAGTGTTGTTAGATAGACATAATACTTCATGTAGTAAATACAAATCATTGCAACATATTGGACGCAGACATGTTGTGCTGCAGGCGTATCTCGGGAGGAGACACGCTAGAACACAGTGTAGTGCAGTAACCACAATTTAATAATGTATGGGCTCAAGCAGCATTAGTAATTAAGTAGTCATAATATATCTTGCCATTTGAAACAGCAAAAAGTTCCAACCACTCCAAATCACACAAGAAAATGCAAAGTTGTTAAATAAAATGGTACCTGAACAGGTATCTATTATTTGTTCCCTGAGTTTAAAATGATAAAATCTGCACATTACCTTACATTTTATAATCTAATCTAGAGCTGTGACCCATATTAAAACATTATTGTTTTATTCAAAACCCAAATGATGCATTCGAATGTTCGTGCAGATCAAAAATTGAAAATGTAAGTAGAAAGACCTGAAATATGTAGTGCTGGTACACACCTAAATCTTAAACCCTGCACAGTAGGTCTATATTTGTCTATGTACCGGCGTGGTGCCTGCAATCGCCAGGCAAATCAATTCATTAGCACATGTATGCTGCATTTTTGCACGATATATCAGCATTTACTATTACATGCGCGTTGTCTGGTTGCTCAGGCGGCTACCACGAATGCACCGTCAAAGCTAAACTTTGTTTGTATGTGTGCCGAATGACATAATCAAAGACACCATTTTTGCAGATTTTGTAAAATTACGCACACGAGATCGGATGTCTGCTATGCTGCTGGTGCCTTTTATTTGACGCCTAGCAAATGTACAAAAAGAATCTATGTACGTGGAACACTGCTTAAAGAGAGTATAAACCAAATTACAGTACAGGTTTAATCACAAGATAACTGACCAGTTGTTAATTCCCTAAAATGCGAAAAAATTGTGACGAGATATCCCACCATACTGGTATGAGTCAACACACATATATATGGATACCTCTACGGACCCTGGAGGTGCGAGAGATGGGACTGCACCACGTGTGTAGGCCTACCGGTCGGCACAGTGGATGTTACCAATTACTAACAGCACACGAGTCTGGCGGGCTACATATAATTCATAGGGTTGTAGCTCAAATCATTCGTTTGTGCCTAAACTTTCAGGTTTTAGGAACAAGAAAATGAGGGGAAGAAGATAAATTAAGAGGGACATAGTTTTAGACAAAACTGGTCTTACAAATTACAATACACGTTGTGTAAAATTAAGAAGGAAGTCCAGACAGCTAACCCAATTGTCATCTACACATAACTACTGGTGGGGATCGTTACAGTCTTTTAAGTGGTCGTTATATACTCCGTAAACGTAGCAAAATGAAAGGATAAGCCACAAAGGTCAAGCTAAAGGCAAAGCACGTGAAACACAATGCCAATGGAGCATGAATGATGAAGTTGAACAAACAATTAAGGGGCTTCTTGAGCCCCCTCAGCCTCATTACTCAATATAATAAAATATTTTACTTCAACTATACCGTTACTAATAAATTTTGCGTGCCATAATGAGTACCTTTGACTCGAGGAGTACTGCCTGGTATTTGCTTGGTTATTTGCAACAGATGTAGAGGCTGCATTTTTACTTAAAAAGTATTTTGCGTTAGATAAACACACAAACTTCTTGATGGAGGCTGCCATGGCTGGGAGGTGCCGCCCTCTCACGACAGAATTCCAAGTGAAAAGCGTTCTCGCGAGATCTCTGTTTTTATTCGCAAGCTATGCGGCCTCCACAAACATTCAGCGAAGAAGACGGCAGGATGGAGGAGGAACTGAAGTGCCCCGTATGCAAAAGGATCTACAACAATCCCGTGCTTTTGCCATGTTTGCATTCTATGTGTCTAAACTGTGGAGTACATATCCAGCAACCAGCGCAGCAAGTTTTGTCAGGAAACGAGGACGCTCAGACGGTGATCTCGGAAGGCTCGTACGAGGGCTCGACCGGCGACAGCCCGAATGTGGACACCTTGAGCATCGTCAGCGAAACTGACAGCGGCGTGGTCGTCAACAGCCGACCGAACAGCTATGTCGGCACACCGAACATCCATGGCATGATCTTTCCGCCACTGCCGGCGAACTCGCTGGCGGTGACGTGCCCCGTCTGCCACAAGACGGTGTATTTCGACGAAAACGGCGTGCAAAACCTACCGAAGTCGCGCGCTCTTCAGTCGATCATCGACAGATATCGCGAGTCCAAGAATCTCGTCGTGAAGTGTCAGCTGTGCGAGGGCGAGCCGGCCGACGCGTCGCTGATGTGCGAGCAGTGCGAAGTCTTCTACTGTGCGCCGTGCAAGGACAACTGTCACCCGGCGCGCGGTCCCCTCGCCGCACACACCCTCCTCAACCCGACGCAGGGTCGCGAGAAGCTGAAAAGCAAGAATAAGGTGCGGGATGCGCGCTGCGCGGAGCACGCTGACGAGCATCTCAGCATGTACTGCATGTTGTGTAAGATGCCCGTCTGTTACCTGTGTTTGCAGGACGGGAGACACAACAGCCACGACGTGCAGGCACTTGGTGCCATGGGCAAGGCACAGAAGGTAGGAACATATATACATGAAGGGGGAGTGGAGGCAACTGCAAGGCAGATAACGCGGGAACATGCGTTGTGTGACACATAAAGGGGGAGAGGGCCGGGGAGGCACATAAGGCAGGAACATGCGTTGTGACACATACAGGGGGAATGGGGGAAGGCACAGCAGGTAGGGACGTCATGCGTTGTGACACATAAAGGGCTGGGAGAGTGTGGGGAAGGCACAAAAGGTAGGAACATACGTTGTGATACATAAAGGTATAGGGCAAGTCACATATATAAGATGTGACGCTGTGACACATACGAGACTCAGCGGGGACATGCACGGAGGGTAGAAACATTCAACCATTAGCTGTTACATACTATGCGCTATGCACGTTGGATTACAAATTAGGGAGGTACCGTATACGCCGTATTTGTTATTGGCACACGAGAGGAGGGGAAGCGGGAGAGTTGCATGTGTTCGTGGTGGCGAATAATCTAATGTCCCAGCCGGGATTTATTCATTGTTATGTTGCAAGTTATTCCATGCGTTGTCAATCAGTCTATAGTATTCTCCTTAGTCGTCTATACTTGTCTGCAGACTGTAGTTATTCTCTCATTTTAGTGACGCTGATGCAGTGCTGTGCAAATTTAACACACAGTTTCTAAATATAATTGATCACCTAATTATATATTTCTCAGTGGTAATCTAAACAATGGAAGTTTCTTCCAGTGTGAATACATATATGAGTGGAAACAATAGCAATACGGTTGCTATGAAAGTGAAAGTATATAATGTATATAACATATCTTGTGGTCACCTTGGCAGATTCGCAGAACTGCAAAGAAATAGAGGAATTAAAGAATAATATAACGCGTAGAAAAAAGCGCACCAATAATAGGAACAGCTGCAGCAGTCTTGATACCAGTGTGGGCGTGATTTGTAGAAAGAGTAGGCGTAAAATTATGTGTGGGTGTTCAACACGCTCGGGTACGCGGCTACGCAGCTACATACATGTACGGAGCATGTGATTTAAATATGCGACGAAAGCGTTTTAAGAACACTCGTCGTGAGGGTCGAACCGCGAATTAAATATTTATCGATCTGTAAGCTTGCCCGAACAATCCACGCTTTGCAGCTGATTAAGAATTAATTTCAATTTGAAAACCTTTAGGGAAACTAATTCTGTTTTGGTATGCGAGCCGTACACCGCACCGTCTTACACTCGTGTATTGAAAAATTTATCTCATAATGGACAGACTCGACTAGAAATGCTGCCGACCGCTAAAACTTGCCGTATATCATGCCCCTGAAGTCAGAACCGTTTGCGTGCAGAAAACTGTAACTGTGCGTCTGTGCCAATCCTTTTCTCTGAGTAATTCGCCTGTTGCAACAGAAACGTTCGAATTAATGCTTTTCAACGGCGGCGAATACGGAACCATCAAAAGATTTTATTGGCCTGTGTGTTAGTAAGTGAACGCTGGCGCGCGATGGGATAAGAAATGGTCTCTCGGTTGCATTTCGCTTCAAGAAAATTCAGTCTAGGACTGGACTAAATATTCTCTAGGCTCCGAAACTAAAGGCACCGAATAGCTCAGTTACAGCGCGCTCTTGCGACTCTAGTAGTGTGTACTGTAAACGCAAGCAACGCGCTCATGTGAGCACATATAGGAAGTCTTGCCATAGATTTAGCAGCGAGAGAAACAGAAAGAGAGAAGGAGAGATATTAAATCAATGGTCAGACGAGCCGTGATGAGCAATCTGCGCGAGTAAATACATCAAACTGTAACTCGTGCGTCGGCAGCTGTCACGAACCTAGTCTCAATAACCAGTCTCTCTCTTGCGCTCTCTTTCTCTCTCTCTCTCTCTCTCTCTCGCTCTCTCTGTCTCTCTCTGCCTG